TTTTATTGTTCTCCTTTCATTTCTCAGCACTGGTTATTGGAATAGTCCCCTTTATCTCTATGCGGCAGTTGCTGAAAAACTGAGAAATGCCTGTTGTTGTTGTTGTTGTTGTTGTTGTTGTTGTTGTTGTTGTTGTTGTTGTTGTTGTTGTTGTTGTTGTTGTTGTTGTTGTTGTTGTTGTTGTAAAAACACCAGTCACGGTCAAAACATTTATAAAAACATTGACTGGATTATATAACAGATACTTTAACCAAAAGCCTAAGTATCTCTTAAGTATCAGAGCCATATGTATGCTGTTCCTAATGTTGCTGTTTTTTGCAGCTCTGATGATATTATATCTGAGATTTGCAACTGCTTGTAATACTATGTGAAATTTCTTGATATTGTTCCCAAAGCCCTGATGACTATGGAGACCACTGAAGTGTGTTTCATCCACAAGTGAGATATTTCAATTGCCAGGTCTCTGTATTCTGTTAGTTTTTCCAATTCTTTATTTTCAACTCTGGCATCCCCTGGAACTGCAATATCAAAGATCCAGACATTTCTTTGTTCTATTACTACTGTGTCGGATGTGTTATGTTCAAGGGGTCTATTCATTTGGATCTAGAAATCCCACAAGATCTTGACTTCCTCATTTTCTGACACCTCCTCTACCTGATGTTCCCATGAGTTTTTGGAGGCTGGCAAGTTACATTTTTTTGCATAATGACTGGTGCACTAACTTTGCCACTCTATCATATTTAACTTTGTAATTAATTTGTGCAATCTTTGGACATTCACAGATGAGGTGTGATACCATTTCACTTTTTTCTTGGTAGAGTCAACTATTGCTGTTTGCACTAATTCCTTGAATCTTAGTTGTCAACACGTTGGTTTGAAGTGCTTGTTCTTGTGCATCAAAAAATCAAACCTTTGGTTTCTTGCTTAAGTGTCACCAGTTTTAGCCATGCCCATGTTGAATTATTATCATAATTCCCATCAATATTTCTCAGGTGTTGTTCATGTAGTGGCATATTTATCCAGCTTTTTAATTTATTTTCAAATTGTTTCTTATATTGAGCCTTGATAGAGACTTGTTAGATGCTTTAACCAAAATCCATGCAGCTCCAGTTTTTCACACACATTTTTATTGGTCTAATTTCTTTGCTTCTGCGTTTTCCCCTAGTGATGTATAATCATTGGTTATTTTGAAATTGCGTGTTTCTCTCTATCGTTTGAAACATTCATCATATCTTTCCGTTTTCTTTGCTGTAGCTGTTATCCGGTGTTTTAATTCTTTCATGGTTTCAACAATTGTTTCCTTTCTAGGTCATATATTTTGTATAGTCTGGCTTTTACTTTTGAATCTTTCAAGTGTTTTAAGTTGCTAATTTGTTTATTTAGCAATGTAATTTTTTTATTTTTCTTTCCAGCTGAATTTTCCATGCAGAAGTTTTCTGGGTTCTTTTTTTTTTCTTTTTTCTTTTCTTTTCTTTTCTTTTTTCTTTTCTTCTTTCTTTCTTTTTTGGTAGCTTGTAACCAGGTTCCATGGTTATTATGGCAGTTGTGCTATACATGAGCTGGTTTGTTTCCTTTACCGTGTTGATTGGGATTGTTCTGATGACAAAATTTGCTTCATTCAGTAGACCTTTTAATCATTTACTTTGTAATTGAGTACTTGAGGGTGGGTGGTCCTTCCATCAGCGGCATAGGTAACTCCCTCTCTTTTGAGGGGATGATCCTTGCCACAAAGAGTGAGCTTGGGGATACATCTGGACCCGGCGCTTACCATGGAAACCCAAGTGGCATCCGTGGTCCATTCCTCCTATTTTCATCTATGGCGGATTGCCCAGCTGTGGCCGTATCTTGATGGGGGGGGCTCACTACTCTAGTCCATGCGCTCGTAATCTCGAGATTAGACCATTGTAATGCACTCTATGTGGGGCTGCCTTTGAGGTTGACGCGGAAACTTCAAAGGGTCCAGAATGCGGCAGCCAGGCTCCTTAGTAGGGTGAGAAAACACCAACACATCTCCCCCACTCTGGCTGCTTTGCACTGGTTGCCCATCCATTTCCGTGTTGACTTTAAAGTACTTATGATTACTTATAAAGCCCTAAACGGTTTGGGACCTCAATATTTGGCAGATCACCTTCTCCCACTCAGATCTACCCGAATTGCCCGCCATAGCCAGCAGGGACGGCTGAGGGGCCTGACGCCAAGGGAGGCCCGGAAGGAAAAAACAAGGAACCGGGCCTTCTTGGCGGTGGCCCCTCGGCTGTGGAACACTCTTCCAACCAAAATTCGGCTGGCACCCTCACTGGGTGTTTTCAAAAGCCAGCTAAAAACATGGCTATTTAAACAGGCCTTCCCTCCAGTCAATTAAGTAATTTCTATCCCCATTTTTTTT